CGGGCACTTAGGACCATTTTTCACCCGTAGTTTTCAGCCCTTCTGCCCTCATATGAAAGCTCACAATCTCACCATTTTGGGGGCCATGCAATCTTCTTTTTCAAAAGATACTGCGGGGGCACTTTTAATGCTAATGAGCTGGTCAGAAATTCTCACTTGAATTAGTGGTCTGCACCCTTTACTAGGTGCTTGTGCGTGCCTCGCGTGTGACGTTTGATGTGACGTGAGGTCAAACTCGTAAGACAACAGCTCGACCCTTACTTATCAAGTGTGAAATCTAGCGCTTCGACCTTTCCATTCGGGCTTGCAGTTACGCTAACTAAACAAGTAACGAGATAGGCTGGAAACTTGTCGCTTCTTGTCATTTGATCTGAACGAAGATACCAGAGGTTCTATGTGTTAGAGAGTGATGTAATATATAGCCATAAATAAACGTGGACGACAAAATCAGAATGCATTTAGCATAATTTTACAAGCAAGAACTGAGTTTAAATTAAAAAAAAAACATCGAGGACTGGTTATTTGTGTGTTCCTAGCTCTATAATTTGTTTGATGAGCAAATTTGTGATGTATCATTATGTCACCGTTTTCGCTGAATTAGATCGAATGTGATTGAATGGGTCAAACATCTTCATTGGGCAAACACACACACACAGCAACGTCTTCAGACAATCTCTTTGCTTAAACGCATTTACTATTCTACAGCAAAAGCGCACTCCAAAGTAAGCTTATCTAAACCACTGACTGAGGCCAACTTGCAAAAGAATTGCGCTGGAAGCTTCTACTCTTCTTCTTTAAATTTCTGTACTTCGTCTTTGACTGCCATGGTATGGCGATGTGAATGGGTACATTCACTGAAAAATGAGAAAACTGGCCTTTCATTTACCAACACTCGTGTTCGTCATACGCAAAATTTCCCAAGAGACTCATTATTTTCGGATCACTGTTTTATTTGCCATGATGAACACCCCATAGACACAGTTAATGAGGTGGCTTGACGAACTGAACTGTGGGTGTATTACTCGCAGCATGACTGTCGTGATGGAGACGACTCTGACAACAATTACGCACGAAAATGATCACTACAAAAATCGTTCTGTGGAGGAAAAAGGTCGAGTTGTTTGATGAGTTGAACGGAGACACGAACGAAGCTGAGGGAGGAAAGTGAGCTCAGAAAGAAAAGAAAAAACACACAAAGATCTGACCTCCTGGGCTGGTTCAATTTGCAGATTGTTTTTGTCTTCATATCTCCTTGTGGGTAGAAACTGTCATAGGTACATAGTTATGTTATTTATTTATTTATTTATTTATTATTTTTTGCTAGCCACATATGCAGAACTGTCGAGGTAAGATTGAAAAACAAGGCATAGACGCAAAAGGCATTAAAACTGCACAGCGCTGCGAAACACATGAATCTGGTTTCTATCTTGTTGTGTGCCTGCCAACTCGACGATTCAAACACTTGACTCTAGGTAGTATTTTAAGCTCAGGATGCGTACAAAGGAACATATTTGAGGTTCTTAGCTATAAAAAAATAACCGAAAAGAGTGGTTGGGAATCTAATAAGTTATGTAAAACTCAAAAACACCTGCGAGGTTTTTGGTTTGTTTTGTGTTTTTTTTATAAGAACTGGGCCGAAAGTTTCTTTCCGTTCATCTCCTAACACTTCCGTAATTAGCCTCAGGACTGTTTAATTCCACAGCACTTTGCTCCTGTCTCCGACAAAGCAGTAGACCGAATACATAAAACGTGAAAACTTGGATATGATCGGAGATCGAAGATGAAGACTCACCTTTGTTTTGGCTGGACGAGTGATTGACTTTAATTTGTCCGTGAGTCGTCACTCGAGCGTACAGAAACCCGGCTGGAGATACCGGCTGCCACGATGACTGTGTCCCGATCAGAGATAACAGCAGCCCTACGTACGCGTGCCGATCACGGGCAGTCATGAGACAAGAACCTAAGGTTCATTCGTCCATGCAATGAATGCGCGAAACCCCGCTGCTGTCCTTGCTTCAGCTTCATTTGCCTGGACAAATTAGAGGATTGACGAGCATCGAGCCACCAGTAGGATGAACGCAGACAGGCTGCTTTGCGAATCCGAGACTGCTCTCAAGTTGGATTATAGCACGTCACCTCTTCCCACTATTGTTGTGTGGACAG